ACATGCTAGCACTTATTTGGATATGGAACCAGATTTGCATTGAAATGCATATCATCATTCGGCGTACACCAAGGATGCTGGACACTATTTATTTGACCAAGAGGACATGTCCATGATGTTTTCGCAAAAAGGGAAAAAAAACAAGACATGTGCCCTATATGCATATCTAGTTTACACATCCGGATGTGTGCATAGGAGAGAGACATAACATCATTTTTTTACTAGCCTTTGCTGCGGTACTCCAAATGACTGTGAGTTGTTTATTTATTTTGACGGAACGGTTACAATCACATATTACCTCATGTGAAATATATATTTATTTAATTTTTTAATTTATAAAATAAGCTAAATAAGGAAAGTTTTTGATATATTTTTTTCTATATTCGATTGATGCATGCGTGATCTGACAAATATGGTGTTTTTTGTAACTATATACTTTGATTACCATGTATTTTGGTAGGTGACTTCCATGTGTGTAGCGTGTGTGCGCGTGTTAGTGAGTGGCCAGTAACGTGAATACGTGTACGTGACTTACATGTGTGTGTTAGCATGTGTATACGTGTTACACGAGAGGCCGGTAACGTGACTTGCCTGTGTGTAGAGTGAGTTCACTGTTTTGTCACTCTAAAAAATAGTGTCATGTCATATATATACATATAATAATCCTCTGCCCACAGTTGATTGATATATATACATATAATCATCTGTCCATAATTGATTGTCGCGTAGCCTCGTAGGCAAATGACAGTAGACCATAATTTGGTAACATGTCATGTGCATATAATCTATTTTGTTAGTATTTACAATAATAGACATTCTGGTCATTCCAATAGGTCCAGATTAAATGGCAAGGCCCAACTAGTCTCGCGTGATTAGGCCGATCTCTGCGGTTGTTTTCACAGAGAAGAAGATTCCCCCCGATCTTTTCTCCCGTCATTAGGGGAATCCAGAGGGATTAATTTTGTTTTTCTGGATTTTTTAATTCATCAAGTAAATCATAAAAACAGAAAAATCAATGGCTCAGATTGATTTGAGATGTTACCATCTTAAAAGTAAATGTTGTACCTTAGCTTTTTTACTCTACATGTTCTCTCCGTCCCGTAATATAGTGCATTTTAGCATTCAAATTTTATCCTCAAATATAATGCATTCAGGAGGACAAAACCCAGTTTTGCATTAAAAACTTTATCAACCAATCACCATTAACCACGTTGTTGATAGCGTCTGATTAGGAAAATAAAACGAGGATAGATGCGTCTTTTATGTTCTCTCTTAATTTATCTTAAAATTCCTAGAATGTACTATATTACGGGACAGCTCAGCATGTATCCTCGTTTAGGGCGTCCGCAATGGTGCTGAGTCAGCTAGCTATTTGAGTGTACAGCTCAGCATGTATCCTATGTGGAGGAAAGAGAAGAGGAAAAAATATTCGAGCCGGCGACTTGCTCGTCGCTCAGCTCGCACGCGCGACGATGCGCCAAATCGCCAGCTTCATCGCTATCTGCTAGCTATTCTTCTAGCGTTTTCAGATCCGATGCGCGCAACCCTCTCCTCCCCCATCCCCTGCGCGGGAATCCTTCTCCCCCATCCGCTGCGCGCGAATCCATTTTCTCTCCCGCGTCACTGTGCGCGAAAATCCATCCACGGCGCGCGAAAATCCCTCCACAATCCACCTTCTCCCGCCCTTGCTCTTCCGATTTAGTTCTGGAGGCGTCAAAAGCAAGGTCTGTTCCTCTTCTTTTCCGTCATATCTTCCCATCTATCGTATTCCACAATCCAGCTCATGTGCTTGACTCTTTTGATTCAGTTCTGGCCCGCGAGATCCTTGTCGCTGCTGGTGATGAGCCGCCGGAAGCGAGAGATGGCCCTGCCACCACACCAGACTGGCTTGAGTCATGTTTATCAGTTCATCATGTAGTAACATATGGACATTTTATTTTATTGTTGTGTTCAAAAGCTTGTCCATGTTTTCATGGTTGCTACAAGTTGGTTATATTGAGATGAGATGTTTAGTGTTATTCTCCATATAGAGAGACACAAAGATAATCTTCACAGGACATCCGTTCTCTCTTTGTGCATGAAAGTACTAAAAATAACAAATAGCTAGCACTATATAGATAGTTGCATGGACTGCTAGCTATTTAGTGCTGAGGTGGATGGCTCCTAGCTAGCAATTAGCTAGGACTGTTGCGGATGACCTTAAAACACTCCAAATCCACCAAAATGCTTTGCCAAGTGTATGAGCTTCTTCTCTTCGGTTTAGCCTTTAACAATTACCATCTGGATAATACTTTGCTCGTAGAATCCTAGCACACAGAGAGTCCTGCTCAGCTAGTAGTCTCCAGACTTGCTTGGCGAACAAAGCCAGATTAAAACTTTCCATGTCTCTAAAACTCATTCCAGCTCTTTTCTTCGGGATCCAAAGTTTCCACCATGCCTTCCAGTGAATTCTTCTATGGTCATCTTCATCACCCCACCAGAATTGTGATATGGCATTCAATAGCTTCTCCTTCCATCCCTTTGTTTTAGTTTGGACACGATCTAAACAATCACTGGGATCTGCTCCTACCAACGCAGGGAGACCCGGGTATTCGTCATTCAGTAATACTCTAAACGTTTATATGGAGTACATGCCTGTAGGGTCAAATATATAACTTTATCCAGCGACGCTAGCTGCATGTGGCCAGCGCGCAACGCCGGCCGCCAAGTCCAAATTATTGCACGCCCTGTAGCCGACCAAGGATCCCACAAACACGGTGCTGGGCATAGCGGCTGTCGGCTATATAGAACAGAGCAAGATGCGTCATCTGCGCGCATGCATCTGGTCTCGTGTATGCAGGACAGTTGACTTGGACGAGCGAGGTGGCAATGGCAACCATGCACGCGGATGGGACTGTGCCCTGTCTGCTCGTGTCGTCAAGACGTTTCCTGGAAAAAGGGGATCGGAGGAGAAGAAAGAGGTGGGGAGAATATGTGAGGTCAGCCATCGCCGGGCGACACGATGATAAAAACGTCGTCACCGGAGTCTCACTGGCTGGCCACGACGCACCATCTTCTCCGGCCAACACCGCGCAGCTCCGATCCACTGCTCGGCTCTCACTCCGGGCGGTTCACTTCTCTCTCTGCTTTGAACTCAAGTACGGCCGCCCGGCCGCGCCCGGCCGATCTGCTCCACCTCCGACTCCAAGCTGCAAACAACCAAGGTAAGCAACCCATGACCGTGAGCAGTCCCACCCCAATGCAAGCGGCAAGCCTAGCTTCATGTACATACATCCTTGTCTCTTCCCATGCCCTCGGATTTGAAAACGATGGCACGGAGCTTGACTCCGGCGATCAACCGCTGTGCGTCGCGGCGGCGCGGTCAGTCGACGACGGACGTCGCCTTCCTCCGTCGTCTTTATGACCCACCCTGTCACCGTTTTGTCTCGCTAGCCCAGAAAACCAAACGGGCCCAGAGCGCAAGCAGTAAACCACGAAGCTCCACGCGTACGTGCAGCCAAGGTCCAAAGTTCATATATCCTCCGTCCAAACTATGACTCACTACATTCATATAAATTCAAACTTTGTCCATCGAGCCAGATTCATAATTTTTTAAGCTCACTGAATTCAAATTAATTTTGAGTGTGCTTACATTTGTACTGTATTATTTATATGGATTTGTTAATCCGTTTGGTTCTCAGTAGATGTGAATCTGACACGTGCATGGTTTTTGAGGCTGTGGCATCCTACATAGCGGGGATATGCTTAGACGCCTAGACCATGTGAGGTAACTAAAACATAGTAGGGTCATACTACGACATGTAGGATATGCCTCAAAAACCATGGACACCAGCCAAACACCATTCGGAGTCATCCCATTTTCTGTAGCACAGGCCATATCTTGCCCATAACCCATCCCTATTGGTGGTATTAGAGACCATCCATCAAATCAAACACAGGAGATGATTTCCACCACCCTTTGTTTCCCATTCCCACCTCTCCTGTCCCGTTATCCAAACACCACCTTTTGCATTTATACACTATAACAGTAACTCAACACTTTACTTTGAAAATAGTAGTTGGGATTTGTACAACATTTAATAGAGGTATGTTTGGTAACTGGTCCTAAGCATAATACAATAGTAATATGATAATCGCCTAAACAGAGCATAATTCAGTCATGTCTAGCTACTAAACCTAGGTCATCAAGGAAATCAATCATGATTAGCAAATATAAATCCATAAATAAGTTAGATGGATTAAAAGTTTGAGGATAAGGAAGAGTTTCTGACCGTCAATCCATTTTACTGTGCTATGCACTGTGCACTATCCGACTCCACTAATGACTTGCATGTTCCCTTTTCCACGCACTAGGAGATTGGGACACCATCCAATTCTTTATTTAGGTGTGCAGACCAATTCCTCGACACCCATCTCTATCATTCTTAACTTGTCTCCTCATCCATGATCATAGCCTGTCTAACTTGTGGAGCTCGCTGTCTTCTTAGATCAACTTCAAGGAACTCTTTATATTTTTTATAATTTATATGAATAGAGATTTTGGTGGGAAAAAAAAAATCTCTAACAGTTCTTTAATTGGATATCAAATATAGACCTCCTCTGTTCAAGATTTCTCGCTAGCTGAAGATGAAGAGCAAGTTAAAGAAAAGCTGTTTGGGGATACAGACATATAAAAACCGATTTTTACTCAAATAACCCTCCAAATGATGATCTAGAGAGAAAACTTTAGAAAGATTCCTGCAAATGCTTTTAATATACTTTCATCTAACATCACAGTTGCATTTAACATCCAGAATACCTCTCTATAGTAAACAGGGTAAAACTGCCACACCTTTCATGCAGTTGTGTAAATTTTTGCTTGTGGTAAAACGTTCATATACCCTTTTCCGGAAAACAAATAGAAGGTTCATATATCTATTATCTGATAATGTTTCATATCGCTTTCTCCTGAGCAGGGAACGAGTGCTACATATTCTTGTTGAATCCTAATGGCAGCGGAGATGGTCAGTTCTGTGGTTGCCCAGGAGACAGTTAGCCAAATCCTATCTGGTCTGGTTCAGAGATATACAGAATCAAATGACGCAAACAGAAACTTTGAGAGGCTAGAGATGGCACACATCAGGCTGGAGGCTGCTCTTGAGACATCTGACAAGTGGCAGATCACCGATGCATCTTTGCTGCATTGGCGTAAGAAGTTGAAGCGTGTGGCTCAAGAGTGTGGCGGCACACTGCACAAATGCAAGCAAAGAATCGAAGAAGATCAATGGGAGGAACAAGAGCTGATGAACTCTTCCCTCCCTAGCCGGATTGTGCGTGCTACCAAGTCATTCATTTTCTCTGCCTTCGGCTTCAAAAATGAGCCGAGCAGATCCATGGTTCAAAGGTTCGAGTGGTTTGCACATGGAGCCAGTGAATTTCTGAGATACGTCGAAGTTGGTGGCACACCACGCTGTCACATGCCATTCAAGTCTCTTAACAGGAACCTTTTTGCAGGCATGGAGCTCCAGCATAAGATTGTTTGGGGAAATGAGTACCCTTCTTATCTGCTATGGCTGGTCCCTTCCATCACTCCAGATCATGGGGTAGAAGCCTGCCTGAAATTCGTCCATAAAGATGATAATGCACCGGAGAACAACTTCTTTCTTGGTGCAATGCTGCAGATATCAGAAAGCACAGACATAGTTGGGACCGTAGTGAACTGCCTGCAGCTCTTTCCTCCTTGTTTCCAGCCTACAATTGAAACCATCAAGAAAGAGCTCACTCAGCTTCCTACGCAGGACTTCGCATGGGTGCCATATGTTGATCTATGGCACAGAAAACACTGGGACAATCTCCACAGCTTCTGCACCCAATGGTTTCGTCCAGATCCATTGTGTTGCAAGAAGCAACAAGGTCTGCAGAACAATAAGCCTCGTTGCATTGGTCACCCAGACATGGTAGGAATTCCAGATGTTTCTCTGGATTCAGTCATTCTAATGCACTTGGAGTGTCAAGTCCCGGTATCCGAGCACAACTATAGGCAGCAGACCACAACCTCGCCATCTCAACGCAGAAGTTCTACGCAGGACTACTCACCATATCTCAAAGCTGGGCTCCTCTTTACCCCCCATGGTTCCTCAAAACACAGGCTTCCTGAAGAAAAGAACTCTGCAGTAGTGACGATCCACGGTGAAGAGCAGCACTATGTGCATACTGACATTACCTTAGACCAGCTGAATGAGATCATGCTGCCAAAGGCAACAGATTACTTCTACAGAAACCCCGAAGCGACGGCCTGTCAAATGCTTTGGAAGTCTAGACATGGCACTGAGTACATTGAGTTCGAGAAGCCAAGGATGGAGGAGATGCCATGTGCAGAACGACGGGCAATTTCTAGGGCAGGTAGTAGGAAAAGGAAGCTGGAGGTGCAACAAGATCAGGTGCAGGTGCTGGGGAGCTGGAATCGCAAGGTGGCTTGCTTCCTCAATTCGTGGGTTGCACATGCACCTGTCCGGCTGCGAGGCTTGATCCTGGACTGGATTCAGAGAGGGAAGGAAAGTCAGCTAGCAGCAGTGCCACCACCACTGCACCTGAAGATCTGAATCGATCATGTATAACTTGTATTTAACCGTACAGTAGGCTCCGGAAGGAGATTAGATAATCATGGGATTTTTTTCTGTTGCTTCATGTACTTGTCTGCAATCCATGATCGCATCGCGCCCTGTAAGCATTGTCTTCTTTTCATTTGATTTGACTAGCAATAATTGTCGATTTGATGCCCTCCAACACCTGTACTTCCTCTGTCTTGTATTTTTGAGAGTCAACAAATTTTAAATTTGACAAAATTTCTCTATACATAATAGAGCAGTAAATATAATTGGAAATACTAATGTTGATACTATTTTTATATAAGTGTGGTGAAACTTGAAATTTATTGATCGACTACTACAATGGCAAGGCACTTTTTCTGGGGCGAAAGGAGTAAAAGAATTTAAGTCACCCCATCTCAGTTTTTTTTTTTGCTGAGGAAGCACTATAAACAAAATTTGGATGTGAGGTAAAAGTACTCATGATTTCAAAAGAGATATTTGTAAGGAATTGTTGTAACAGTGCTTGAGGTTAATAATTTTTTAAAAAAAACAGGAGATTAATAAAAACTTACAATAAGTTTCTGAATGACTTCTGATTTACTTTGAGAATATACAAGGCAGAAGTGACATTTGTAATCTTGATGAATCCTCTACTAGACAAGAATGGTAGCCTCCCAAGGGGATGGAGGACCCGCTCCTCCCCTCCGTCAACCCCCACTCGCCTGAACCCAAAACACCCAGATCTGCACCATCCCCAGCCATTCCATATGCCATCAGCACCCAGATCAGCCTCCAACAACGCCTGATCTATCCTTTGATGGGTCTCACTCTAGCGCTCAACCAAGAATCGGCAAGATCAAAGCCTTCTATGCCCCCATCTAGTTTCTGCTCGAGTCACCGGCGCCACCACTATCAATGCTCGGCTCGTGCTTGAGGAGTGGCCGCGCCGACACCGACTCCGAGCCCGGTGGCCACCGCCCTACGCCGCTTTTCCACTACCTCGTCTAGTCTGAAGGACGACCGGCACAGCCGGCTACTGTCCTCGTCGTCTCCACGCGTGGCGAGTGGCCTCTCTCCCTCCGCCCTGCCTTTCCACCCGGGAGGCAGCTCGGTGGGAAGATCCAAGCTCCGTCAGTGGCCTGATGAGGACGACGACCTCCTATCCGATGGGAACCCTGCCTCCGTCGCATCCCCGTCTGCCAGCCCAGCCATCGTGCATTTGGTGGATGTGTATATGCTAGCGCTGCTACAACTGGAAAATTCCACGTGGGCCCGACTCATGTCTATCCTGGTGCGAACTGGTGATGGGGATCCTCCTGCTGGTGTGTGTGGAGGCTAGATTCATGGCCGCGAGGCTGGCTCGAGGCAATCCAAACGTGGGCATAGGTGCCGAAGGCCCCAACAGGTTCATGGCTTGCCACTCGAGAGGTCCGACAATCGCCTGCCACCTCAATGAGCTCTTGCTCAACAACGGATTAGGCCTAGGGTGTCCCGTCACCACTGCATCGTGCCGCTGAACACTACGTGAAAAACGGTTTGAAGCAACGGGACAAATATTTTGTAGGGGAGGCTTGTGATGGAGCCACCCCTACAGTGACGTGCTTGGGAACCCAGAGACCAGCCGCCCCTACAAATGGAACAACAGGGGCGGCTAGTGATACGAGTCGCCCCTACAAATGGGTCTGATTTGTAGGGGCGGCTCACACACCAGCTGCCCCCGGTGTTTCTATTTGTAGGGGTGGCTGGTGATTGAACCGCCTCTACAAATGTCCCGTATATAATTACCTGCTATTTGTAGGGCGGCTCAATCACCAGCCGCCCCTACAAATAACCCACGTATAAAAAACTGCAGCACATTCTCCTCCTCGGGTCACTCACTCCAACCCGTGAAAGAAAGGTGGGGAGGCCTTGGGCATCTCCCAAAAATTGCTCTACTAGGGGGAAAGGTTTTGGTCTCAAATCCTTTGGTGGAGAGGTTGTAGAAGATAAGAAAATACTATTCCACACTTTTTTTGAAGTTTTAATGGTTGGTTAGTGAGTAATTAAAGTTTTGTTTTTCTCTCTCTTCTATGGTGCTTGAGCTACTTATGAAGCAAATTAGACCCAAGTTTTGAATGTACTAGGGTAAATTAGATAGGGGAACAAGATCATACCCTTATTTGGTCCATGTTTCTTGATTTTAGTGAGCAATTAGTTAATTTTATGGATGTTTCATATGCATGTAGATCTAGATCTAGGGTTTGGTTTTTTTATTAATTTTATTTTTGTAAATTTATGTTTGATGGAATTGGACTAGGGTTTGTATGAAAGATATTTGGGTAAAATATAATTGTTTCTAATTGTTGTCTTTGAAATTATTTATTGTAATCAACAAATATGTATTTTAATTATTTATGGCCATTAATTAATTTTCCTCTACCATTGTGTGTTTGTATGCTTCATGTAATTATATTTGATTTATATTCATATATATCTGAAGTATATACAATTATTCTCAAGTAATTATTAATTTGATTCATTTTTATATATATCTGAATAAGTAGTCCTTTAATGTTTGTTTTGTTGTTGTTGTAAAAGATGGAGTACATGAACTCTTGGATATATGGTTCGTTAAGGTTCAAGGAAGGTTTCTGTGAAGAGGTGGATAAATTTATTAAAGCCGCAAAGAAGGATGCAAGAACATTGACAGAGAATAAGGATACAATTATTTGTCCCTGTAAAGATTACAAGAACCGTATGGCATGGACAGATGTGACTATCATCATATCATATTTAATTATGTGAGGATTTGTTGAGGACTACACAGTGTGGATTCATCATGATGAAACGGTTATTGTTAACGATGAGGATGATGAGGAATACGACGACGAAACCCAAGAATCCCTGTCCCAATATTCAGCAGAGCTTGATGTACAAATGGATTTTGAGTTTGGCAATGAACAAGGTGGTGACGCTGGTGGTTGGGATGGTAACGACGAAGGTGGTGCCAATAATAATGGTGGGGCACGTGTCGGGGATGAAGATGATTTGGATGATATGATTCGAGCCCTTGGACCAGAGATTTTACTAAATAGCCCAAAAGGTCTAGAAAATTTGGAAAGGGTGACAAAAGCATCGAAGGAGACTGTGTATGGTGTTGAAAAGGGTTGTCCGACACATTGGATATTGCTACGTTTTGTGCTTGAGCTACTCATCCTAAAGGCTAAGTACGACTGGTCAGACTGTAGTTTTAATGATCTAATGCATCTCCTGTCATGGGTGCTGCCACAACCAAACTCAGTTCCCGCCAACACATACCAAGAGAAGAAGGTCATAAGTCCATTGATAATGGAGGTTGAAAAAATCCATGCATGCCCCAACCACTGTATACTTTTTCGTGACGAAACGTTCAAGTCACTGGATAAATGTCCCCGGTGTGGGGCTAGCCGGTACAAGAACAATGACCTTTATGGTGAGGATGAAGCCTCCACAGAGAAAAAGAGGAATAAGAAGGGTACAAAAAAGGTGATACAAGAATCTCAGCCCCCAGAGGACACTCCATTAGGCAACGATACAAAGCAGAGAAGAATTTCTGCCTTGGTAATGTGGTACCTGCCAGTGACCGACCGTTTGAGACGTATCTTCCTAAACCCTAAAGAAGCCACACTCATGACATGGAGGGATGATGAGCGCAAGGTGGATGATGATAAGATTGCACACCCGGCTGATTGTAGTCAGTAGCAAAGGTTCGATGAGAAGCACAAGAATTCAGCGATGACCCAAGGAATGTACGATTTGGCTTGAGCACCGATGGAATGAATCCCTTCAATGACAGGATGAGCGACCACAACACTTAGCCAGTGATCTTGACCATGTACAACATCCCAACGTGGTTGTGTCAGAAGAGAAAGTACCTTCTCCTCACTATTCTTATTTCTGGCCCTAAACAACCAGGCATTGTTATAGACGTGTTCCTCGAGCCTTCGATGCAAGAAATAGAGACACTATGGAGGCATGGGGAGCCGATGTACGATGCGTTCCAAAAAGAGGACTTCATATGTAGAGCAATAATATTTGTTACTACCAATGATTACCCCACGTTGCTTGGATGGTACTACATGGGTGTACCTGGATGCATCTAAGAAGATAGTTTACCTAAGGAACCAACGCTTCTTAAAGACAAGTCACAACTACCGTAACAAATTATTCTTTAGATTTTATGACAATACCCCGGAGATTGAACCCCCTCTAGAGAGACGTCATAACAGAGAACACGTGTACAAAATGGTGAAAACATACGCGTCGTCTATGGAAGAGAAGAATTTGGATGGGACGAACAGAGATAGAAGCAAACCTCCGGTCGAAGGCATTCCTTTCAAGAAACAATTGATCTTCTTTCAGTATCTATCTTATTGGCCAGACTTGGAGGTCCCCCATGCCATTGATGCTATGTACGTGCAGAAAAATGTCTTTGAGAGTTTCATTGCTACCTTGATGGACACAGGCAAGACAAAGGATGGTCTGAAAGCACGGAAAGACATGGTGTAGCTAAACGTGATGCCACAGCTTCACCCGGTACCTGAGGCTAATGGAAAATACACTCTGCCCGCGGCGTGCTTCAACCTAACACCAGACGAGAAGAGAGCTATATGCACTTTCCTGAGGGGGGTCAAAGTCTTGACTGGGTTTTCAGCAAATGTGAAGAAGCTAGTGTCGATGAAGGACTTGTCAATAACACATTGCAAGGCTCACGATTGTCATGTGATGCTGACAGTGTTTCTACCTATTGCAATCAAGGCTATAAAGCCAGAGTTCTTGAAAATGGCCATCACCCGCATGTGCTACTTCTTTTTGAAGATCTCACAGAAGATGATTGGCAAGCAAGAGCTGAGTGATCTACATGAATTTGTGGTGGAGACACAAAACCAACTAGATATGTGATTACCTCCTGCTTTTTTTATATAATGCCACATCTCATGATTCACATGGTTCATCAGATACAGGTGTTGGGCCCTTGCTACTTGCATGAAATG